AGGCGGTGCTTATCCACACTATTACATCGAGTAGAACATTCCCACAGCTTGTCGTTTTGTCAGACTGCCTTCAATATAAGCTGTTTTTAGACTAAGAAGAAAGTTTTGAGTTCTGAAACTTACACAATGTTTTTAAAGTACAGTGACCTCTTATATGTCAAAAGATCAAGGGAATTTTGGTTTCTCAGTTCATGACCCCTATAAACTAGACTCATTCTTGTTCAGATCTGCTGATGTTGAACAGCAATGATGGACAACCCTGTTTGCTCCAGATCATCTGAGCTTTACTGAACTGAATCAGCTGGAGATGTTTATTCCTGGCTCTGGTTGATGTGATGTTGTTGTTGATCTGCAGCTTATCTTCAGTCGAATCAAGTGATGGGATGGGGAGAGAAAGCCATCGAGCTGAGATCCGCCAAGACGGGCAGTCTAGAGGGAGTCTTCATGCACAAGAAGGCTCAGAAGCTCAAGTTCCTGTGTGAGAGAAACGATAAAGTAAGAAAACCTCTCTATACGCTTGTGTAATATCACATTCAGAAATGCAGAAATTCTCTACAGATTATTCTCACAGAACAAAGAATTATTACAGGCATCATAAGATGATGGAAAGCACAGAAATGGAACGTGTGTGTGTGTGTGCGCGTGCGTGTGTGTGTGTGCGTGTGTTTTTCGCGGCGGTGCAGTCGGGTGGAAGCAGTCAGATCTACTTCATGACGTTAGGACAGAGCACTCTCTTCAGCTGGTGATGGTCTCCATTCACAGGCTGCTGCTGGGGAAAGTACACACTCCATATCACAGACCAACCTTCAAGATTCAATCTGTCCACTTTCTGTATTCACATGTAAACATTTTAATAGAAGTGATATATTATATACATACTGTATGTAAAATAGGTGATATATTGCGTTGTGTCTGACAGTGTCAGCGTTTGTCTTGATCTGTGCTTAAAACATAAACCTTGTTTTGCATTTTAATTTTAACTTTTTATTACCATGTCATGTTGATATTTTGTCCCTAATACCTGATTATTTTATTGTATGATAATAACCATGGCTGGTACACGGTGAACCCGATACTAACAGCTAATAGAGTAACTGTCAAACATTGTAGCATCTTTTGAGGGAAATACTGTAGCTGACAATTCAGAATAGAAATGATTGATTACTGATGACTGAAACCATCTGATAACTGCAGACATTCAGTTTAATTTCGCAGGCTTTCCAAGTAAACGCATTTAATTATAACAAATGGCAGTTTATCTTTTTTTTTTTGTTTATTATAGCTCTCACTGTACTAAAACACAAACATAACTAATAAAAAATAAAAGTAGGATGTCCCGAGCCGATCTCAAAGATGGGGATTGGGGCCGATCAAGTGTTTTTAACTGATTAGTTTGGGTGGATACTCAGTGTTCAGTGACTCGGATCGGATCAGTGGCACGAAAGACCTGATCGGGACATCCCTAAATAAAAGGTTTGTTTAGTTGCTGGTTATACACAGGTGTTTAGCATGCAGATGAAATGATTGATCTTTGTCTGCAGTCTGAACATCACTAATCATGTGCTTTGTTTTTCTTCTGTACGTTTGAGAACTCGCCTTTGATTGGCATCAGTCTTTGCGGCCACTATTTCTCAATCCTGTTGTTGAGCACATTTCACAGATGACAGTGTGTTTTCTGCTCTTTGTTTTGGCCGCTGGTTCTGCTTAATCAGGCTTCACTATCGATTCTTTAGGTACATGTCATGCATCTGAGCTCAAGTGTATATAACACAAATACATAATTCACATACTTGAATTCATGAAATAAATGCATCAGTACGTCTCTCTCTGATAGTGTACGGTGTGTGTGAGACGTTCAGAGACGCTCAGTACACTTCTGTCACTTAACATGTGTTCGCTGGTAGCCACATAGTATTAGTACAGTGTCACAGGACAGTTCTGAAACATTGTCATTGTTTGAAGCTTGGTTGTGTGTGGAAATCATAGCAAGTGCGGAGCGTCTGTGGAGGACTGATTCGTGACGCAGGTGATTCTGTCGTTTCTCAGCAAAGAAAAGAGAAGGGAGTGGAAGATGATCGTATGAGAGAGAGTTCAAGAAAGTTGAAATGTGGGAAATCAGAGTTGTAAAAGCCAGAGGTGTGGCGTTTGGGATCAGATGGATTGAACTGTCCATTGAAATGTTATATTTGCACTCAAAACACACGTGCTTGTGAAGATGCAATACTTGTGAACCACATGCACTTTACATCGCTTGCATACAGACTAACTTGCTTAATTCTGCTGTTATAGTTTCACACATTATTGATTTCACTCTTTTATTAACAATCCAACTCAGAATGGCACGCAGAGGGTTTTATAGGCTTGATTTGGCACTCGAGAACAGACGTGTGAGCATTAGTATTCTGATGATTTGCAGCAGAGCATCTCACACACACACAACAGTATCATCACTAACTGTGTTCTGGAGTGCTTCAGTAGTTTTCTCAGTCGTGCCTTAATGTGCTCTGAATGCCGTCAGCCTCGTGTTGTGTGTGAGACATCATGAATGTATTGAAATGTCTGACAGAGTCGGTTTCTGTACTTTCACTTGCAATGCTGTACATTAACAACAGAGAATTTTAATTTAATTCAAAGCTGTTTTCTTCTTCTTTGTAATAGTGTAATTTGACTGTATATTTCCTGTACTGTACATGTTCCTAAATACTGTTCATTATCAAGCACTATTGGAAGCACCATATACTCAACAGTTATGCTCGTCAAACTCCTCTTTAGGGTTTCGGTTGTAACAGCATATACAGTGTAATGTGTGTGTCACATGAAGGAATCGAGCCAAATAAATGCTTTAAGAATAGAGCGCTCGGTGTGTCTTTGTTCAGCTGTGCTACATTAATACAAACCTTCCATACAAACCATCATCATGCACACGACTCGCTTATAAATCATGAAAGATATCAGTCGTTTTATTCAAACTCGTATCATATACATTGTTTATAAACTCTGTTCAATGATCAGCTCGATACAACAGATCTGCTGTGCATTTATTGAGGAAGAGATTCAACACAGCCCTGTTGAAAAAAACAGCATATGCTGGTTAGGTATGTCCTAGGAGTCGACTTGTTGCATTCTAAAAATATCTAAGAAAGAGTTTGCATATGTTCTTTTTTGTGTCTCATATTTGATCTTCAGGCTTTTATGGCTCATATAGTCTGAATATGGAGGAAAAAACAGCTCAATTTTATTCAGAGACTCAAACTGAGCAAAAAGATGAATCTGCTGCAGATGCTGATATTTCTATGATGAAATTCTGCTTCTGCTGCTTGTAATATAAATCAATGAGATCTTTATACAGTACAGCTTTATTTGCAGTACAGCAAATTATCTAAATATCAGTCATCACTCTATATCTCCAGTAATCTGTCTCAGTGAGATGAGATTGAAATGCTCCAAACATATAATGCAGTGATTGAGAGCTGAAGAAATAAAGGCTCCTCAGAAGATGTGAGATGTTCTGGAGGCTTGTGAAGATCATTCCTCCGCTGAGGAACAGTGAAAGTAAAGCTTCTGGAAACAAACGCTCCTCAAAAGATCCTGAGGATCAGATTTGAGACTCTAAAACATGATTGATGGAGAATCAAGTAAAGCTGAGCTGCTTCAGTCCAGTAAGTGTTCATCTGGAGATATTACTGCAGTTATTCTGACGCTTACTTGATAAAAACCAGTCAAGATTTGACACGAGAAGCTCCAGCTGAAGCTGGACGCTTGTACAATTACACTAAAAGAGCTTTGACTGGATAAAACAGACAGCAGAAGGCAGAGTTTTATCATTTAGGGCCTTAGAAATTTACTGAGTAAAAACAAGGCAAACGTTTCGGTCACATGTTGACCATTTTCGATGCCAAGCTCAATGTCGATGGTCAACATGTGACCGAAACGTTTGTCTTGTTTTTACTCAGTAAATTGCTTATATTGCTTTCATCTCGCTTGTTGACTCTTGATGTTTGAGTGTGCGGACTTTTTTCAAGCTCTTCACCTTTGGGAAACTTCTTTGGTCTATGCACCTCAGTTGGATTATTTTGAAGGCGCGGCGAGTCTCTGGCTGCTTCTCTGGGCCTTAGAAATTCTAATCAAATATGATACAGTAGCTTCATAAAAGTAAGCAAAATATAATTTATTGTTTCTGTTTGTGGTGAAACGTGAGCTGGACAAGCTCTTGACGGGCTTGATTCTCTGTCATGTTTGTAGTCTGAGAGGCACGGAGGTTTTGAGAGCACACAGAAGTTCAGACCGATCTTATTCAACAGAGCAAACCTCTAGAATGCAGAACTTGGCCCTGAGGTGGGACACGGGACCCTGCTGCTCAGCCACGTCTCCGGCTGCTTCCTCCAGTGAAAAAGTGTTCTGGTCTGAATCAGGAGAGAAATCTGCACAGATCAAGCAGCGTTTAAACAGCTCTAAACACATATGTGGCTGGATTTTGATGTGAGAGACAGCAGGAGATGCACTTTTTCACTGGAGGAAGAGTTATTATGGATTATGAACTCGTGTTTTAGTTAAAAACGTCTTAATGCTGGATTAGTTTCAGCTTTTGTCTTCTCCAGATGTTAACTGATGGACTGGAGTGCTGTGGATTACTTGTGGATTATTGTGATGTTTTTATCAGATGTTTGGACTCTCATTCTGACGGCACCCATTCACTGCAGAGCATCCATTTTTTATTCCATTAAAATGTTTATGTGGAACATTAACCAGCGTTAATGTTCGGGAGAAATATCATTCAGGTTTCAGACAAGGTCATAATACTGAAACATCCTTATTAAAGGTAGTAAATGATCTGAGATTAAATACAGACAAAGGTAATGCATCAGTTTTAATCCTTTTAGATATAAGTGTAGCATTTGACACGGTTGATCATTGTATTCTCATTAACAGATTGGGAAAATGTATAGGTCTCTCTGGTAATGTTTTAAATTGATTTGAAATGTATATTACAGAAAGGAACTTTTTGGTGAATATAGGTGATTGTACATCAAAGAACTATGACGTAGTATATGGTGTTCCACAAGGATCAATTCTTGGCCCAGTTTTATTTGAATTATATATGCTTCTTCTAGGCAGCATTATTTAGAAATTCGACATGAATTATCATCTTTATGCTGATGACATTCAATTATATATTTCGGTTGAGCCCAGATGTTATGGGTGTTATTTTGGATTGTGATTTGAGTTTCATCAAGTGACAAAAACTTATTTCTATCACCTAAGAAACACTACCAGGATTCTTCCTTTTTTTATCTTTTAATGATGCTAAGAAACTAATCCATGCGTTTATCTTCTCTTGACTTGATAACTGTAATGCTGTGTATACTGGCTTACCAAACGTTTCTATAGTTAAGTTACACTTGATACAAAATGCAGCAGCCAGAGTATTAATGAATTTAAAGAAGCGAGAACATATTACACCGGTTGCATTGGCTCGTTTAGTTTACACTCGAAGTAGATTGGTCTCTCTAAGCGAGATCCCAATTCGTCGGTCATCCGACGTGACGTCGAGAGTGACCGACTGAAAGGGAACGCCAGTTACGTAATCAAATTACTTTTTTTTAAGTAACTGGTAAAGTAATGCATTACTTTTTAAATTAGAGGGAAATATCTGAGTTACTTTTCAAATAAGTAACATAGTTACTTTGTTTCCATGTATTGAGTGACAGCTCTGGTGTTGCCATGGTGACAGAAATCAGGAGTAAGTGCAGAGCGTTGTGTGTGAACATGATCTTACTGTAGTTCTAGACTAAATATCAACATGTGTTTACTCATCTCACACACACAAACACATTCAGTGTTCCTCACAATCAATAAAAACTGTCAAATATTACATAAACCTGCAATAATTAAATATGTTAAATAAGGCAAATATCTTTTATGTGTGTTTAATGCCATTTTATTAACCAATGTCTTTGCTACTGACCTTCAATGGTCCAATTCAAGCATACCAAGCAAAAATCACACATTTGTGTTATTGCTGAATAGTGTTGCACTTTCTTCTCCTGCGTCATATTCTTCAAGCTGCGCCCTCTACTGTACAGACGAGAAATTACATGTCCTTCAGCCTGAGCCGGATTCACTTCACTTTTGGTGTGAAAAGCACTTTTACGTTTGTAAAAGAAGAACTTTTTATATTAAAAACAAACAAGCGAGCCCTGTCCAGATTTAAAAAGTAACGTAACTAGGGCTGTCAGTTTAACGCGTTAACTTAATTAATTAGTTATGAAAAATAACGCAATTAAAATATTTTAACGCAGTTAACGCACTGGCCCCGCTCCCAGACCTGTACATAATCTTACATTTCATATAGTTGACTGTTGACAAATATGATGCTGGGCAACAACTCCAAAAATGCAGGTATGCCCTAAAATTCAAGATATGGGTGCAAAAAATGCCCCTGTATGTGTTTTTTGTTATTGCTGAATAGTGTTGAACTTTCTTCTCCTGCGTCATATTCTTCATGCAGTTTGTTTGAGCTGCGCCCTCTACTGCGCCCTCTACTGTACAGACATAAATTTACATTTCTCTCAGCCTGAGGCGTATTCATTTCACTTTTGGTGTGAAAGGGCTTTTACGTTTGTAAAAGAAGAACTTTTTATATTAAAAACAAACAAGCGAGCCCTGTCCAGATTTAAAAAGTAACGTAACTAGGGCTGTCAGTTTAACGCGTTAACTTAATTAATTAGTTATGAAAAATAACGCGATTAAAATATTTTAACGCACTGGCCCCGCCCCCAGAGCTGTAGTCATCTTACACTTCATATAGCTGACTGCTGACACATATGATCATAAATGCAGTTATGCCCTGAAATTCAAGATATTGGGGCAACAATGCTGCTGTATGAGTTTTTGTCTCATATTTATGATAATCGATATCACAGCAGTAAGAGCAATATCAGACGAGTGCTACATGGGCTGGCAATACAATATATATTAAAATAATCATGAGACCATTTTAATCGAGACACTTAAATTATTATAGATTTTTCATGTATTTTTATTATTGATAGATTTTTTTATTTATGATCCTGAAGGATGACTCATTCTTCCTCAAATCTGGCGAAGATTGTGTACTTTGCTTTATCAACCATTTCTGTGCAGAACACCTCATAATCTTTTTTTCCCCCAAATACAAAAGTGAACAGTTCGGCTGGAGAACTTTCTGCGCACGCAGCTTTGTGTAGGGATTTACTTTGCTGCTCATCTGCTTGTTGGTATGTAGTATGCATCATCAAATTTATATATATATATAAAAGTCCATTTCAATGTCTGTTGCCGCAGCAGTCAACAAATAAAAAAGGTTATTACAGTTAAAACAGTTAGCTAAACTCACCATAGTTTAAGCACGCTATTTGTAGTAAAACCGTGGTTATACAAATTTGTAGTAATAATAATACAAAATAAAACATTTAATTTCTCTGTGATCCCACGTTTGCCCATTTTCATTTAGCTATTACAAAAATTCTATACTTAATTGAACTGCCCAATTTCCATTCATCACTTTATTAATTTGCATGCATGAAATGAATGTAAAATAACCTGCCAAAATGTACATAACCTTTTATTTAGTTTGTATAAAGTAACTCTGTCCAGCACCCGCTGGTAAAGCTAGAAAGAACAGCTGAACATCAGTTCTCTAATCAAATATATTGTTGTATTGTTACTGCCTTTTGTTATTATTTTGGAATAAATGTAAAAATACGTAAAAACACTAACTTGATGAGATTTATTGGTTTTGATAAACAGAATATTACACAGTGTAAAAATGTAGACTGCACTTACAGCCAAAATGTTACTTATCT